CACGCACAAGACAATGGTGCACTAGCGCCACAAGATCACGGCAAATCATAAAGTGAAAGAATTATCGACCAAGTTGGCCTGAAGAACAAAGCGAAATAATTTTATCGATTGTGGCGTTGTGGTATAAATTTCTTTACAGCTATTTTATTTTTTCCGAAAAGTGCGTTGAAATCTTGAAATCCCTAACTTTCCCTGATTTACTGACGCATTTTTCAAATGCCCTGACATTTCCCTGATTTCCCTGACTTGTGGCAACCCTGTTTTTAAAAAATAATCATAAGTTTCAAGAATTTTTATATATATTTTTATACATACAGTCCAAAACCTACATACCTGGACTGGGATCGATGGCAGCTAATAATTCCAACTGAGGCCTGAGACCGCTCAGTTGTCCAGGATCCGGAGTACGTTGCAACGCTATCACAAGCTCCTGGACACTCTGGGCGAACGATTGTGGTGTCTGCAATTTATCAATAATGCTTTGCATGTGTGACTTGTGAGCAGTATCGCCATAGAGTAACGCAGACCATTGATCAGGCGCAATACGCAAGCCCGCCTCAGTGGCTATCTGTACAATTTGTGCATCATGTTCCCGTCTCAGAGCTTCATAAGTACGGAATTCTTCCTTTAATTGCATCAGCGATGAGTCACCTTCACGCTTTGATACCTAACATACACAACATAATAGAAAGCAATAATAATATTTAATGCAATTGTATAGTAAAAAATTTTCTATACAATGTTTGGTTTAAATCTTTTTATAAACATATATATATATATATTTACCTTAAAACAACTCGCTCGGTACAGAAGCTGCACCACATGTCCAATGCTGGTTTTACTAGCTTGAGGAAAATGTGGTTCCAGACGCTGTACTACAAACATCACCAATACCTTACGTGATAAAGCAGAGCCATCCTCCAAAGCTAATAGCACAAGTTTAAGAACTTCCTCTTGCATCGCTAAAATTCTTTTTCTATATATATATATATATATATCTTATGATTTATCCCTTTAAGACTTTATCTTGATTTTTCTATATATGCAAAATAACTATAGAAAAATTCTATTTTAAAAGAAAGCAGTTTACAAATGCATTCCTTTTGGTGTTTATAGCGTTTATAAGCATCATTTGTCTTTGTATGATATTTAGTAGACAATGAGGATGTAAAATAATGCTTAAAATGTGTGAGTGTGCCAAACCAACACATACATATTATTGTAATTTTACCATCCATTACTGTAATTCTAAAGAAAATAATGCTACATTATATATACTTTTTTATTTTTCTTCTATTATTTTTCCTTTATAATTCATTGAAGACAAAATCTATTAAAATTATACAATTATCTTGTATAAATAAAATTTACCTGGTCCAAGAAATTGACAACCACGGGCACGCACGGCCGCCCAAAGGTTAGCGCTGAGTTGTTGAGGATTCTGGTGCTGTAGTATAAGCTCCGTGACAGTGCGTTCACCAAGACTACGAGCAGCACGCAATGCACGTGCTCTACCTTCTGGTTCTACCAATTGACAACCTAATAACGTCACCAATTTTCGTTGCATGGGTCGTGATACTAATCCCCCACCTCCGCTTCCGATACCTATATAACAAATAAATATATTTTATATTACACAAGAAAATACCGCAACAATTCGTGTGTGCGCACGCGCATTGTACACGCACGCTCGTACACACAGACATTAAATTAAAATACTATATAATTCATGTGTAAAATAAAATAACCTTAATAAAATCTACTGTAATACAATTCCATCCAGAGGTTAATGACAAAAAAATACTGTAATACAATATTATTATATCTGTAATACGACATACATTTAACATCATTTATTTGTTTATCTGTATGTATATTCCGTACTTGATAAGACTAACTTTTATTTGTTAATATTTATTTACATTTGAGATTTTAAAATTTTGCATACCTGCAGTATTACTAATTTGACATGGTTTAAGATAAAGAGCAAGTTCCTCAATGCAATTCTTAGCCCTCAGATAATTAGCATGTTGGTTTACTGGTAGAAGTTTCTGGTAATTCTGTTGTTGATTTGATGCCGATGTTGATGAAGCAACAATGGGAATTGAATTGCCTAGTAATTGTAACAGTGCCTCATTTACAGGTAGTTTTTCGATGTCGGTGTTGATAATGCTCTATGAAAAAAACAAACAAGATAAAGAACTGTTTATAGAATTATTAGCAATGTACTCATACATATATATATGTATATACATATAAATATGTATCCGTGCACACTGCACGTAAAAGAGAGGAGGAAGAAAGGGGGAGGAGTGAGAGAGGAGGGGAGAGAGAGAGAGTCATATGTATATATTTTTTTGGTATATATATTACATTATTCAACAAGAGAGAGCACTTTCAAAATTGCCCAATTTTCAGACCAAAAATCAAAAAAACATTTTGAAGTTCCAAGTTTGTACTTGTACTTGTTCCTGATAGTTTTCAAATTTAATTCTGAACATTGGTAAAATAAGTATGTGATAAGCTTTCATCAAATTTCAATGTTGATTATAGGAAATGAAGATTTAGCTTTATAGTCATGTAATTCGGTCAAGAAAAGTTGTAGAAAAATTTAAAAAAGAAAACATTTTGTAGGTAAAACTGTTTTCAATACTTTTCTTTGTAAAAGTAAAAAATTTTATCAAGCTGCAGATTGTTAAATAAATGTAATTTTAAGGAACATAACATAATTTTTGCATGTAGAAAGTGTAAAGAAAAACATTTTTGAAAAAATGGCCAGAAGTATAAATTTTAATGTATTTTTTTTAATTTTTATGTTTACAATGATTTTTCACTGAGTTTTGGTAATCTAAAAATTGTACAATTTTGAGTATTTTAAAAGTGTTCACTATTTTTTTTTTAGTAGTATATTATCATACTAAGATACTGTTACCTGATCAAAAGGACATTGCTTGCGATGTAAATTGGCCAAGCAAGCACGACATATGGTGTGGCCACAGCCGAGTGATATAGGACCTCGTACAGCCACATCAAAGTCATGACAACAAATTGGACACGACAGAAATTCAGTCCACTGTGGTGCCTGTATCGGCATTCTATAGGACAATAGAAAAAAAATTTGAAATTTGGTAAAAATTAAAATAAAGAAGAAAATTTTTATTATTTCATATTTTTGTTTAAATTAAAAGAATATCTTTTAAGCTATTGAAATGTACTTCAATGATTGTATATATAGTTTATTAAATAAAGTAAAATAAGATAAGATCAGTAAAATAAGATAAGAAATTGTAGATAAATTATAGATGAAGCAAAAAATATATGTAAACGGAAAAGTAATATCTAGAGAAATAAAATCTAGAGAAAATGTAAAACTAAAGGCGAAAAAATTAGGTATAACATACAGAGGAGACGGAAAATGTGGGTGTACAAAACCCAGTATACAGATTCTGCTTTGCATAATCATGTTTACCTAGCTTTGTAAATAAAGAAATCAGGATACAAAATATGATGCAATAAATGTCGTTGTCAAACATTGACCAATCATTATTACGACAATGTAAAAAATAAATTGCAGAGGAGACAATTTCGGCAAAACAATCGCAACGTCACAATACAGGTGTAAACCTGAATCCGCCTGTATTGCGACGTACTTGATATCAGATCAACGAAATTTTAAGAGATCCGACAGATCGATTGAGAAAAAAAAAGAAATCTTACCACTCACCTCGTTATATCCCTCGCAAAACATCACATCGATTACACTTTTTGCGCATCACGCCTCACGCGCAGTTTTGCGCGATTCGCAAGACAACGTCTATTACGCTACAGCTATATAGATTACGCGTATAACCCAATATAACCACGGCACGACGATGTCGCGATCGTCGACGTCACATAACTTTCTCCATATAACTCTCTCCTCGTGTCGTCGTGCTCTCTCGTGATATCTCGTAGTGCTCATAAAGGTACATTCACATGCAACCGTCAGCGTCAAGCAGCGGAAGCAGCAACCAATCAGCGCAATCGGCTATTGCTGGATTCACACTGCATCCGATTTTCGTCGTACGACGACTCTGCAACCAATCAGAAAAATCGTATCATCGAGACGAAGCAAAAATTTGTTTCCTGATTGGTTGCAGAGTCGTCGTACGACCACGGTGTAAGAATAAAGCCCATTCTACATTGGTCGTATCGTAGACGTCACAGGTCACAAATTTGTTGCAACAGCCAATCCGATGTGTCAATTATGGGCCTTCTACAAAAAGTCATAACTTAAGCTTTAAGTGTTAAATCACAAGAAATTTACCAATCACAATCGAATGTGAGAAGAATAATCGACTGTGAGTGGTCAATTTCTTATGACTTAATACTTAAAACTTAGGTAATGGCTTATTGTAGAAAACCTATTATGGGCCTTCTACAATAAGCCATAAATCGGAAGTAAGAAACTAAAAATTGACGACTGTGATTGGTCCATTTCTAGCTTATGACTTATGATTTGTGACTTACGGCTTATTGTAGAAGGCCCATAATGGGCCTATATATTTCGAGTAAAATTTTGCTTAAAGGGAACGTTTTGGAAAGTAGTCTACATAGCTAATATTACAAAAAGAGAGAGATAAAGAATTATTTGTTATTTTATGGTTACATTTTATTGTTAATAAACATAATTTTCTTTTATATTTAATAAATTTTTACTAAAAATCAATAAACTGCTACGTTCTTTTTATTTTACGTTTGAATAGTCTCGCCGCAAATGAGCTCAATTTCTGATTGGTTGAAATCATGGGCCTCCGCCATTATGCGCAATGGGTCACCTTTCTATTTCCACCATGGTCAAAGGTGTTGTTAATCAATCAGAAATGTCAGAATCGTCATGACAGCGTAAACGTCAAAACTCGCGAATGGGTTGTAAACGAAGTGGAGTAGCGTGCATCTAGTATCAATATTGCGTAATCGTACATCTCGACACCTCGTACGGGTCTCTTTTCGTTTTTTTTATGTATACGCAAGCGATCAAAATGCCGGTCCAAAAGGATTCGAATATCGTTAAAATCGCTGTTCAAATGACTGATCAGATGCCGCAGCTCATTGAGTTCAATCAAAAACAACCTTTGGCTGGAATTATTCAGGTAGATTTTATTGATTACTACTCTCATTACAATCTTATTGTGACGTCGCGTATTGTATGCTGTCGTAATTTAATTGTGTACAGAGTGTGCATTTAAGTATACTTGACAAATTTTTTCTCTGAAACTAACAGGCGCGAGTAAGAAGATTAGAAAAAAATAATGCAATGCATTCTAATATTTTATATTAATCATTAACATTTTGTTTTAATTTTAGGAATTGTGCAATGGGTGGAGTTTGTCTGATGCCGAATCATACTCTTTACAATTTTCGGAAAGTAACAATCAAAATTATATTACGGAGAAAAATAGAAATGAGGTGAAGAATGGCAGTATTCTCAGATTGGAGTTTTCACCCTCAAAAACAGCAAGTGATATTTTGGCTAAGCTTAATAGCATAGCAGAAGAGAAAGTAGCAGCTCTGCAGAAACTGAGTATACTCAGTATAGACATGACTTTTGCTTTGGAATTTATAAATAAAAAAGGATTAGCATTAATTATTTCACAGGTAACAAAATTTTGTATAATAAAATATATATATATATATATATATATAACTTGTGATTGTTTACACTTCTTACATAATTACTTTATATCAGGTGGAAGGTGGAAAATATAAAGGAAACACCCTTGCATATTCCCTTCAATCATTTGTGGAATTGATGGATCATGGAATTGTATCATGGGATATATTAGAAATCCCCTTTATCAATAAAGTGGCAAGCTACGTGAATAACCAATCAGTAACACAGGACACTAGTATAGTGGAAGCTTCTCTAAGTATCTTAGAAAATATTGTTCTAAATTCAACAGGCAAATATGGACAAGTGGAGAAAGAAGTCACTTTTCCTAATCTTGTAATGCATTTGCAATGCATGAATCCACAAATTCAACAAAATGCAATAGCTTTGATAAACGCGCTGTTTCTGAAGGCTGATCTACATAAGAGACGAGCAGTTTCTGCTACATTGCAATCTAAACAAGTCAGGAATGTATTCTTGACAAATGTCATACAATCTACTGGACAGGTACAAATACACATAACATATATAGTAATATGCTACAAATTTTTTTTAACAAAATTCCACACACTTACTCACTTACTCACATTGATATCTTCTTTATAATTAAAGGATAATTAATTCAAAATAATTAAAACAATTTTTTTTAGTTTCAACTAAGATGATTAATGTACATAATGTTTGATTGTCAAAATAAACAATTATGTTTAACTGAAACTCTATGTCAGTATATACATACATAAAAAAGTATATACATACATACTCTCTTGTTCTATATATGTCAAATATTAAGTTAAAACAAATGTTTTCACTGGTTTATTTATTCGTGGAGTTATTTTTAATCAATTAATCATTTATCTCTTTTTTCAAAAAATATCTTACTTTTACAGGTCGGAGCGGAAATGGCGCATCAATTGTATGTACTGCAGACTCTAATGCTAAGTCTTTTAGAACAACGAATGATGACAAAGATGGATCCACAAGATCAAGACGCACATGATAAAATTAAGGAACTTCGAAGAATCGCTTTTGATACAGAAGGTGCAAATAGTGGAGATGTAGCTGCTCGCAAGGGACTTTTTGCCAAAGATTATAAGAAATTGGGCTTCAAGTACGACATCAATCCTGCTCTTGATTTTACCGAGACTCCACCGGGGATGCTTGCGTTGGACTGTATGGTGTACTTTGCGCGTAATCATACTGAAGCTTATACAAAGGTTGTTCTCGAAAACTCGTGCAGAGCGGATGAGCATGAGTGTCCTTTCGGTAGAACAAGTGTGGAACTTGTTAAATTGCTTTGCGAGGTGAGGTAATCAATTTCAAAAACTCAATTTATGTTTGTATCTAATATGTAATCTAATGCGTATGATACGTAAATTGGACGAATAATATTTTAATATTATTTAATATGATTAGATATTACGCATTGGCGAAGCACCCAGCGAACAGGGTCAGTCTTATCATCCAATGTTCTTTACGCACGATCATCCATTTGAAGAATTTTACTGTGTTTGTATTGTATTGTTAAATAAAACATGGAAAGAAATGAGAGCAACTACGGAAGATTTTGTCAAAGTCTTCTCTGTTGTACGCGAGCAGATTACTAGAGCGCTTCAATGTAAGCCAACAGGACTGGATAAGTTTAAAAACAAGTTACAACAATTGCCATATTCGACAATCACTAACCTTTGGCAACAGGAAAGAACAAATAGAGAGGAATGGGAAAGCCACGCGAGGCCAATTGTTGAACTTAGAGAACAGATTACTCCTGAAATCTTAGAGCTAATTCAACAGCAGCGATTAGGATTTTTGGTGCAGGGTACCAGATTCATGAAATATAGTGCTAGAGGACAAGTATATATCTCTTTGGAACACCGAACACGATATATAATACGTACAACTAATTGTAAAATTAATAAGGATCTCGATATTTTTAGCGAATTAAAGATAAATTCTGGTACGTCCGCTTATCGCCAAATCACAAAGTTTTCCATTATGGAGATTGTGATGAGAAATCGGTGCCAATGATCGACGAACTTCCTACAAAACTAGCAGTAGTCGAGATTCGAGGATTATTGACCGGCAGAGATTGTCCGCATATGAAAGACTTGCAAAGGCGAAAAACTACTCATCAGTTGGCGTTTTCCTTAGTCTTGGATTCTGTTGAAGTGTCTAGTCTCGATTTCGTTGCTCCTGATGAACAGGTTTTTGATTATTGGACTGACGGCATTAGTGCTTTACTTGGTGCGTTGAAAATTCCGTTTACATTTATAAGCAATACGCTTGAGTACTTTATACTTACTTTGTTTTTCTTTCCTTTAGGAAATAGAATGACTAGCAAAGAAGCTGAAAATGATTTGGAGACTTTATTATCCATGGACATCAAGTTAAGACTCTTGGATGCAGAAGGAATCGATATTCCGCAAGATCCACCCGCGATTCCTGAACCACCACCAAATTATGATTTTTGCTACGAGTTAAAGTAAAAATTGTAAATCGTGCTCGTCTATTACTATATAGTTTACATTACTTTTTTACAGGCATATATCAAGCCGTCTTTGTTCATAAATCTTTGTCCACAAACGATTTTTACACTTTTTTTTATCTTTCGCATATATTGTTACGATAGATTTTGACATTTTTTCTCTCTCGATCGTAATTTCGTAATTTGTTACGGCGTATTTTAATGATATAAAAAAACAGTATGTTTTAAAGAAACATTTTAAATTATATGTATACAGTTTTTATATGTATTTTATAAGAAATTATTTATCCAAAGACGAGAATCGCATACAGAAAAAAGTCAGATGTTATCATAATTATATTGACGGTCTTTTTATAATAATTTAATCAATTTCTAAGGCATACTTGGTAACGTAACCTACTGCCGTAATAAACTTTATACACAGTGAGATTTTTTATCTCTTTCTATTCTGCTATTAATATTTTATATTGATATTTCTATGTACGAATATAAAGTAGTATAATACATTTAATAAACGATGAATATATTTAATAAATTGTAAAACTCAATTTTACAAGGTATTCATTGAAACATTATATAAAATTCTTAACTACATGTTTGCAAATTCGTGCCCTGGTAGTCAAATAGCGAATAAAGTATAGAATATATTTAATTTGACAATCTTTCATAAGTGATGATAACCTTTATATGCAAATGTACACGCAACTTGAAAAAATAATGTATACCGGCCACTGTATACATAACTCGCGCTCGACGCTTCTCTGTGCGAGAGAATGTATGAAATATATAATATTCAAAGGTTCATATGTCTCGTGAATTTTACATAATATCCTCCGAAAGAATATGATAATGTTGAAGGTCATTTGTTTGATGATCCGGTGGACAGAGGAAAAATTCAATAAAATTAAGCACGGGTCCTCGACTGAAAGGATTCAAGTACTTGCCCTTCTTGTCCCTCAAATATGAATATCTTTTATAATTGAACATTTCGTTGGTAGTCAAATTCATACATGCATGTAAGACCTGTTGTAAAAGAAAATAATAAGAATAGAAAGTTACGTCAAAAAATGTAACAATAATGTAAATATGTCGTATTTACCGAGGTACACGTTAGAATCCAACCGAGTCCGCAAAAGACGAGAGCCTCTAATACACCGAGAACATACAAGAGCTGTATTCCTTCAATTGCGATACAATAACACGCGAAATATAATGTGAAAGAGCAATTTATCGCCACGCACATAACGAACAGGAAGAACCACATTCTGAAAACAAACAGAAGAATGATAAAATAATTAATGAAGCGACATCAACGAAGCAAGCACGTACACATATGTATGTAATTCAGGGAATGGAAGTAACTCGTTACTTGTAACGAAGTTACAGTTACAAGTTACTTTTTTGGTAACTTTACTGGTAACTGCGTTACTTTCTTTTTTTGGTAACTGTAACGGTAACGAGTTACATTTTTTGGATAACGGTAATGAAATTTACAGTTACTTTTGTCGTTACTTTGCACACGATTGAACACGGTTCGATTGGATACATGCTATTTATAGCGCTTATCAATAAGACTTGAAAGCCCTTAGACATTCGGCCGTTATGATTCAGTAATTATTTTACACTTCTATCTTCTATGTAATACATAGGACATACAAATATTTCAATTTGCTGCATATTTTACAGGTTTTAGAATTACAAAATTGTGTTTAAAAAAAATTAAAAAATAAATTAAATAATAGTAAAATGAGTAGGGCTATGAACCCAAAAGCGAAACAGTTTAAAAGACGATGACAATAAGTGTCGAAACGTCGTTTGTTTTTATCTTGTTTTATCTATGTATTGTTCTAATATATATTTATACATTTAATTACATTGTCATCGTCGTTCTTATCGGAAATAAACTGTTTCATTTTTGGCTCGTAACCCTTCTCATTTTACTATTATTTAATTTATTATTTGAGCCATTCTACATTGTTTTCTTTTTTTTTAATAAAACTATATATTTGTCAGTATTACATATAAAAAAAAAAATGCAAAAGTACATTTTTTAATTGATTTTAAAAAAGTAACGGAAAAGTAACGAAAAGTTATTTTTCAAGTAACGGTAACTGTAACGAGTTACTTTTAAAAAGCGATAACTATAACTGTAACTAGTTACATTTTTTACTCGGTAACGAGTAACTGTAACTAGTTATTTTTAAAAAGTAACTTTCCATTCCCTGGTATGTATACACGCGATGTGTTTAATGTACGTATGATTTGTATCGATACTTGAAGAATGATAAAATAATTAATGAAGCGACATCAACGAAGCAAGCACGTACACATATGTATGTATACACGCGATGTGTTTAATGTACGTATGATTTGTACCTATTGCGTAGGCCAACGCAATTGTATATAAATGGACAGTGATGATCGAAATATGTAACACATCTGTTGCAAATTCTGCAGTGTTTAGCCCGGAGGGGTCTGAAACACCTGCAGCTGTGACATAATCGTGATAGTAAAACATTCCGTTTCCTCCACTTATCAAAGTACGGAATCTAAAATAACATAGAACGTTACAATTGTTTTACAGATATTCAAAATGCGTATGCAGGATTCCCACAAAAAATGAATTTTGCAATTCCCTGACTTTTTCAGATTTTCCAGATGGAGAAAGAAGAATTTTCTCTGACCAATATAAAATATTAATTGTCGGATCTGATGTAAATCAGATTTATTGAGATTTAAAAAAAAAAGAGGGACATTATATGAATAGAAATAATTTAATTACGGCAAGGTCAAATAAGCGACAAGTTGAGTAATTGTGATTCAGATAATCAAGGTTCTATGTATGTAAATTTTAACATTTAGAAACAAGAGTAGTAGGAAATTTATATTACTAGACATAACAAAAATCTAAAAGACAAAGTATAATAAAATCTTGTATGAATAAATTCAGGTCAAAAAGAAATTAATAAGTATTGAAAAAAAGAATGCAATTATAATCAAAAAGATAATCAAATAAAAAGTGATTAAAATATAAATTTTAATCATTTTATTATAAATTTTAATTATTTTATAAATCACTACATTTGATAAAATATACATTTAATTGTAGCAATGTAAATTAAATTTAAGTTTCGTATTGAACTATATGAAACAAAAAACAACATTCCGAGAAATTTCTAATTTATACATAAAAAAAAAGAACAAAAGCGCCATCTTGTAGTAAGGAATGATTTGTAAAGTGCGCAAGTTTTAAATGTACTTGACTATAAACCTTAGATATAATGTTTAAAAAATTATAACAATTATTTGGAATGAAAGCATTTTAAGAGAATTACGAGCAAAGTTCAAAATTCCAGATTCTTTTATATTTTCCCTAACATTTCCCGATTTCCCTGAACCGACCAATTTTAAATTCCCTGACTTTTCCCGGTTTTCCAGACCCGTGGAAACCCTGGTATGATACCTGTTTTATTGCCCTGTAGTAGGTATCACTGTTTTGCGGCACGTAACCCGGATCTCTTCTGTTAGCGACGATCCACGAAATCCACATGAGAATGTTCCAATAAATAAAACAATAATGACTGCCTCGCAAGAGATTCCACGTTAATGGAATGCATTTCAACAGGTACATCGGGTACCCCCATAGCAGGACGGATATTATGAACAATAACAACGGTCCCTTGCTGTTGCCCGCTCCGCCAAATAGTAGCGCCCTTGAAAACAAACGTCATTTTTCATTTTCACACGCGAAATTTTATTTCTTTACTTATCAAAAGATAAGCGCACGAATACCATAGCTCGTTAATGGGTGGTATCCATCTGGCACGGCGCTTTTGTTCCGCCTGCAAAATGCGCACTATCTCCGAGTGGCGATGACTCTTTGCCAGCTGCAGCGGCGTTTTGCCGTTTTTGTCGCGTGGTTCAAGATCGATTTTACTCTTTTCACAGAGAATCTGGACGCAGCTGATGTTGCCGGACAGGCAAGCCAAATGAAGCGGTGTCGAACCGAAGTAATCAGGTTTCTGCAGATCTACTCCACTGTATATCAACAGCTTAATCAGTTCGGCGTGTCCTTTGTATGCAGCCCAATGTAACGCGGTATCACCATTTATGTCGGTCAAGTGTCCCTGCGCGCCAGATCCTAGCAAGAAGGCAGCCGTTGCGAATTTACCAAACATGCAGGCGGTCATCAGAGGCGTTAAGCCTTTAAAATCAGCCGCATTGACCGTAACTCCCGTCTGCATGAAGGAAAGAAAGCATGAAAAGACTTGGAAGGAATTCTTGAGAATACACCGCTACCTTCAATAATAATTGCACTATCGCACTATGGCCTTTCCGACAGGCCCAATGTATCGGCCTAGGTCCTTGGGTACCAAGACATGGTAGATCAACAGGTCCGCTCCGTTCTATCAAATATCTCATTACCTGTTGGAAAGAACAGTTATTTACGTCTTATTTTCTAGTGCAAGAACTCTTTAATATCAAATAATCATTTTAAGAAATGACAAAATCGTTTTTTAGAAATCACATTCAGAATTCGGAGTGTGCCACTCAGAAACTAACTTCAACATTACTGTCCAAAGCAGCCCAATGAGCAGGTGTATATCCCCATTCATCTCTAGCACTAAGTACTGTATTTAGCCCGTTTTTCTCGACCAGCTCCTCGACTGCCTCGATTTCACTACAACACAACGAACGAACCCTTTGCATTCTTCCTCACACAAGCTAGTTTCTTTAAACTTAACCCAATTTCTATTCTATTTGCAAGATCTCACCCGGCTCTGAGTAATTCAAAGATCAGTTTGGTTTCATCAGTGGGGCTTTGGCCAGTGGTCGTTGCTTCGTCCACATAGATGTTGTCGTCAGGACGACTTCTCTGTCGCATGTCCTTGTCAGAATCGTGATTCTGATGACCTGCAGATATTGGATTGTTCGGTAGATGCCCGACCATGTCGGGATCTGGACTTAGTTCCCATACGGATCGTGCCGCGCCAGGCCCTGCCACAGGGCTCACAGGATACACCTGTAAGAATATCAAAATGAATGGGAAGAAAGAACTGTCGTCCAGTTGATACAAACAATAAGTGATGTATAACTCAATTCCACAATTCTCAATAATCTAACTATTATGTAACACACTGCGTTACATTTATCTTATTGAATGCGAAATATAATAACATTAATGTCACTTTTAATTAGCTAGCCAGTATAAAGACTAGAATAGAAATTGTGCGCGTGCGATATTATCGCAGATTGGATAATACCAGGGTTGGGTAGTAACTAGTTAAAACGTTAAAAGTTAAAAAAAAAGTTCAAAAGTTAATATAACTTTTAACTTAACTTAGTTAATTTTAAATGTATTAAATTTTAACTTATAACTAAGTTACTTTTAAACGTTAAAACTTTTTAACTTTTTTTTAAGTTAAAAAAATTTTTTATTTTTTTTTAAATATTTTAGAAAAATAATAAAGTATAATAAAACTAAGGACGGAATCCATATTCCGAACATAGTCTAAATCTCAAAGAATGTCTTAAGATGCTAATATGGCTCTCTGATTGGTTCATGCACTAGTTTAATACCATCTCGAATTATTATTATTATTATTAATTTTCGCATGTGATTCTGCAATGTATATGTGATTCTGAGGAACTATGAATTTTGTTATTATTTAATATTTTTCATTATCGATACGTTGTATTTTTATTGATAGTTTACTTTTTTTAAATGGAATTTTAAAAAAATGTAATCACTTTTGTATCTTTTCTATGTGTTGGCTGTTTTTTTAAAGTTATATAACTTATACAGTTATATCGTTATGTGTGTTTATATACTTATATCACATGTGAATAAAAAAATTAAAAATTTAATTTACTTAATAATCTATATTGTAGTTATTTAATCTCATTTTAAGAAAAATTAGGACATTTTTGATCTAAAAAATATTTTTTTTTTAAATCAACTTTTTTTTCAACTTTAGTTAATTCAATATTGACTATTCAAATAATTTTCTATTCCTTCAACTTTTAACTTAACTTTATTAATTTTGTCTTTAACTTTATTCAGTTAAAAAAAAAACATTAACTTACCCAACCCTGGATATAATACATACTCGTATAATAGTTTTTCATTAATTATTCGCGTAGAGAGTATCATATATATTCTATTTGAGTTTACTTTGAACTGCTTTGAACTTTCAATTCCGCATGTTTTACCTTGCACAGCGTCGCGAGTTCTGTATTTGTACGCTCGTGTTCGGAAGGCGTTCTGAAGGATGCGCTTTGCGTAACGCTCGTTCCTGCACCCTCTGGGACGACTAGTCACAAGGAAACATTGGATCCAACCATGTCTAATTCCGGACCTCACCTGACAACGAAGCTTTTCCTCCAGACCCGAAACACGTGAGCTGAAACGCTCACGTTGGACTCCTAGGACGAGAATAAACGAGAACTGACTGACAATTGATGAGAATATAGGATATAGACAGAAGTACTTTTCTCAGGCGACCACCAACGTCCGCTGAAATTTCTGAGAATGTCTTGGCGTACTGTTTTCCGCATTCGAATCAATAACGCGGCGATGCGACGCGACGACGCCTGCGTGTGCGAATATGATATGTATAATAGGTTGCTTTTCATTTACTCCGATTCTCAGATAATTCTCATTTCCCAGCATCCGAGAATGGATTAAAATGAATTGGACATTTTGTCTATTCGAATTCGTATTTTAAACAGCGAAAACTTTTTTTTTGGATTCAATTGGATTCAATTAGATTCAATGGATATGCAACTGGATTGAAAAATTGCGTTTCCTATTCAAAATTTTGAATTGTATGTACATACAGTATTCACTATATGGTCACAAACGCACTGAAAAAGCTGATATTTTTTTATTGTAAAGTATACAGATATACTTCATGCAATTCCTATAAATTAATAAAAACGTATTCGGATTGAAAAGGATTCATTTTAACATTCATGAATCCGTATTTCTGAAAATTTGAATCCATTTTAATCCATTTCAATCCATTCTCAGATACTGGGTTGTGACGTCATAATCAGTTGAACAGTTGAATGCGCGTTTTCTTTTGCATTCTGAGAAGTGAGATTCAATTGAGTTTTTACCTACAAAAACTGCACAAGGTCGAGACCGTGTGCTTTACTGAAGACTCACTTTACAAGTGAGGTTATGAATCTGTATTGTTATTCGTTAATTTTACCAAAATAAACAAAAGTAATAATGTCATTAATCTGAGCATTTCATATTCAGCTCACCGCCTCAGACTCATTTCATTTATTTATTATATGTAAATGGAAAGCATTAACTTAATGGTCGAAAAGGTGTTACCTTTTTTTTATAAAAAGGCGCCAAGTGTGTGCGTGTGTGTGTGGATTTGAGTTGAAATCTACTGAATTTTTAATCTTTTCCAATATTTAAGGAATAATATCAGGAAATTTTTTAATTTTTTAAATACGAAAGAAATTTACAACACAACTGTTACGAAATGTATAATACTACATATTTTTTGCAAATACATGTTATATGCGTCGTAGAGATTTTCTATGGCTAAACTAGTGTATACTTTTTAAAATGAGATACATATATACGCTTGAAATTTAGTGAAAGCAAAAAACAAAAACAGATCTTTCATATAGATCTTTCATCCCAGTCAGAAATAGTTCCTCGAAAAGACGTCGTTTCGATGTCGAAAATAAAAGTCGAAAATTTTCCAAATTTCTATTGATTTCGACGGATTTTTGACTCCAATTTCGATTAATTTTCGAGTTAAAAGTTGAATTAATCTTTCAAAATGCCCAGATAACAAAATGCGCGCACAATGCTCTCACAGTGCATTCAGGCGTGCAAGATTATCCGCACGCGTGAGTGTCATGCGCATGACAGTTGTGTCCTCATTTGAATATACCATATTGCTCTCACGCATGCGGACGCGCACGAAAAAAAAAAAATTAGATTTCTTTCTCCATCATTTGTGTCCTCTCCTTAAGTGCTGAACTGATATAATATCTAGGAAAAAACTTTTAAGCCTGATAGGATTTGAAACTCGTGACTCGATCCACGGTCCAGTTCTGAGTCGTTCACCTAACGTACTGCTCCACTATTACCTTATTGACAGAGATGTTTCGAATTGTCTATATATACTTTTAATAAAAATATTTTGTTCTACCTAAACAGATTATTTTGTTAAAATTACTAAAAGAACACTTATTTTGTAATGGTAACAAAATTTTACCTTGTTATTTACAAAAAGTAAGTAAGCAAATAAAAATTTGTATAAAAAAATTAAAAAATTTTCTAAAAGTTATAAAATTATTTAGAAATTCTGAAAATTTCTGAGAAAAGCTCTTTATTGACCAAAGCGATATATCGAAACTGTCGAAATGATGTCGAAAAAAATGTCAATTCGATCTTTGAACGAAAATCTTCAAAATACAAAATTATGTATTACATATTTACACCAAAACCATTAAAAAATGTATCAAACTTTCATCGCATTCTCTAAATATGGAAATTTTATTATTCGAAAATATTAAAATTTCGACCCAAGTTTCGAATCGACAACATTTTGATCGAAACGATGTCTTTTCGAGGAACTATTTCTGATGGGGATGAAGTTTCCAAAGCTATCAAAGTTTTTTTATTACGTTGCATAGTTTATCACATTCTAGTGCAACAGTTGAACGTATTTTTTGCAAAATAAATTTGTGCAAAACAAAAAGTAGAAATAAACTATCAACTGAAACAGTACTGGGAATAATGCATTCTAAAAATTTATTAAAACCTGCATATTGTTACAATTTTGAAATATAACCGAATTTAATAAAAAAAAAATAAACTATTATAAATTAACATATATAACTGAAAGTTCCTATTTCTATTAAATAAGTGTGATCTCAATGGATGCATCCAGAAGCACGACCGCTCATTGAGCGCTCAGTAAGCTCTTGTACCTGTTTGGTTTATATTTTTAGATCTAATGGAATATGCCAATTACTAATTAGATAAAAAAGCTCATTGAGCGCTTAGTGAGCGGTCATGCTTCTGGATGCACCTAATATGATTGATGTGATATTATTTAGTGAAGCTTCTTAAGAGTATATATATAAATGTTTATATTTATACTGATAAAAATATTTTAATATATTTTAATTTGTTTTTAGTTACAAAACGCATCAATTATAACGCTACATCTATGTACAATATTATATAAAGGCTGTTTTCCGCAAAGCGCATATGCGCGCATTCCCCTATAGTATACGTGACGCTCATCACTATATAAAATGCGTGCATATTGCGTGCATATGCGCTTTGCGGAACGCAGCCAAAGTCTATCTATGTAAAGTATTATAAAGTACTTTTATTATTAAAATAAAATAATTTTTGTACACTCTCCGATTTGTGTCATTATTTATTAAACACACACAAGATAAAAAGAAATTTAAAAAAATGTTTTCTATTATCTCAGAAATTTTATTATATTTTCCTAAATTTTTATAAAATTTTATATTTTTTCAGGAATTTCTAGGGAAATCTCCGTTTTTTTTTTTTTCAAAGAATTCTCGGGAAATTTTATTACAAATTCTACGGAAATTATTTTTTTCAACTTGGCAACCCTGAACCCTGGTATTACCCCCGCTTACTTGACTTGACTTTAGACAAGCAGGAGCTAACCAAGAAGATTTCTCTGGTTTCAACCAGTTTCGACGTGAGTTTAAAACATCACGAGAAAAGATCAAAAATGTCTGGTGTAGACTGGGAAGAAGTCAAACGGTTAGCTGCCGATTTTCAGAAGGCACAGCTCAGTTCGACCTTGCAAAAGTGAGAGACGTTCCGTAATCTAGTTAACCTAATCTTATTCTCTTGTTGATAAAGCATCTATAAATAACATAGTACTTTAAATCTGCGAATAAATTGTACTCGAATTATAAATATTATTTTCTTCTTATCTGACTTGTATATTTTATACATATTTTTATTTTATTTGCATTATAGCACTTTGTAAGAGCACCAGACAAGTTTAAAGGTTTAAACATATGGTATTGATAACATGTTAAAATAAATTTATTTCTGTCAGATATGAAAGATGTAGTTTCAATTCCGTTATATACTTTATCTAATAGAAATATAGTTTTTATAATTTTTATAATTGTTATATTAAAATTTTTAAAGAGTATTAATTTTTTTACATTATGTGTTCTAGATCAATTTTCTTTTTATAGAGAATAAAATCAAAAAGCAATAGAAAAAAATATAATTAGTTTCATTATAATGTCAATAAGAATTTTCTTCTCCTGCACTGATCTAATATTAATTAAATTTTAAATGTATATTATAGATTCTCTGAGCGAAATTGTATAGAGATTATATCAACGTTGGTAGAAAACAAGCTTCTGGACATAATATTTACCAATGATGGGAAGGAATATGTTACACCCCAGCATCTTAGGAAGGAGATCAAAGATGAGCTATATATTCACGGTGGAAAAATTAGTTTAGTCGAATTGGTACAAATTCTTAATATTAATCTGTCGCAAATAACTAAAGCAGTAACAGAGCTCGAGAAGCACAATAAGGGGCTAAAAGTGATATTAGGACAACTTATAGATAAGAGTTACATTAATAAAATTGCAGAAGAAATAAATGATAAACTTGTACAATACGGCTGTATTAATGTGGCAGAGTTAACACTCACTTATAATTTACCATCTGATTTTTTACAATCAGTCATCGAAAAGGAACTTGGAAAGATAATACATGCTACTCAAGACTCCCAAGATCGTAAAATTTTTTATACCGAAAGTTTTATTGCTAGAAATAAGGCAAAAATTAAAGGTGCCCTGTCAGCTATCACAAAACCTACGCCATTATCTGCAATACTGGGGCAATGTGGTGTATTAGAAAGAATATTTTTCTGTAAGTATAAAAATTAGGGATGTAACGAATATTCACTTTCGCATCATTTTAGGCTTTCGTTTTCGCTTTCGCATCTAATTATGCGAATGTTTTAACGAAAGATTTTGTCCGGTCCGTGGAATTTGCAGCTTCACCGAGGGCATACTAGATGGTGGGAAAGTAGTTTACATTTCATTCGTTGGTTTGCCAATCTAAATAAGCCAATAAGTAATACTTATTCTTATTAGAATTAGTTATACTTTTATATTATATTCTTAAGTATATAATATAAAAGTATAACTAATTCTTAGAAGAATTTTATTTTATGTTGACTTAATAAAAAGTATATTGAGTTACTTTACTTAAGTTATAGGAGTCAGTTTTTATTTACGAGTTGCAAT